ATGGATTCCTCACTTTTACCAAAATAAACTCTTACTGTTTATCTATGGGGCAATTGAATCTACATTATATGAAGGAAAAATCTGTAAAATGTTGAAAAATAACTGTATCAGCACCTTGATCTTACATCTATGTAACGCAGATATGAGAAATAGAAAGAGATCATCTACGCTTGTTAAGGATTAACAGGGGCCTTATCGAAGAAAAAAAAAAAAGAGAAAGAGAAAAAAAAGGAGGATTAACGGGTAAAATTCATACAAAACCAACCTAAAACCTTGAAACAATATGACCCCTACAACCCTTAATCCAAACCCAACTTTAGAATGCTTTAATGGCCTGAACATATATTGCGCTGGATAGGGAGATAGGACATAAAAGGATAAAGCTATGACAATTTCCACGGCCAGAGGATTCCACAACTCTTCAATTTGTCCCAAACTTTTGAAACTGCATAAAAATTATTCATGGCTGAATCTAAAGATGAGAAAGAAAAATGAACTATACCATTCCTATTGTTGTATCATGTATGAACAACATGGAGCATTAGGACTCAGGCCAAAGGAAAAAACTCAAATCATGCCTACTCAAAATGATGTTTGTTCTGAATGTTTAAATGTAGATGATACAATTTAGCATTGGTGCCTGGAAATCACGTTGCAGTCCCTAGATTCAGTGATCTGCCTATACCTGGGTATGAATAATAAGGAGAATAGGAAAATTTAAAAAATAAATTAAACACAAATTGTCAAATTAGATCGGGACAGGAAGAGATTATTTACTGTTAAACTCCAGTTATAGCTACAAGAATTCAACTTTGCATTTTATAAATGATTGACGTTGATACCATTAGCAAATATTCTAGATTGGAAGCTTCAAAAATCATTTTGCAATTCAACTGCAGCCGAAGAAGCACTTTTCAAACCAAATAGTTTCAAATGATTCTATAAATTGACAGCCACAGGTAATCAGCAAAACCAGAGCAAAGAAATCAATGAAGAAATTAAACAAGGGGAAAGGGCCCGGCCACAACGGTTCTATTTTGAAGAGTTGTGATTTTTAAGGTTTTTTTTTTTTTTTTTTTAATTTAAAACTTTTTGAGTTTTAAAAATTTTTAAGATTCTATTAATTAATTAATTTAAAGTTTTAAGTATTAGTTTTAAAATTTTATATTCAATAATTTTTTATTTAATTTTTAATAGTAGTTTTTAATTATTAATTTTGATTATTTGAATTTTAAAAATCAAAACTAAATTCAATCAATATAACCATACTGAATAAAGTTTGAAACTCTATTTAGTATGGTTATTGTTTTGAATTTTTTTATTTTGTTTTTAAAAATTTAGAAATCCTAAAATAAAATTAAGTAATTATATAAATTAATTGAATTTAAGATTTTAAATATTTATTTTAAAATTTTATACCAAATAAATTAACCTTTTTATTCTTAATTTTTTTTTGATAAATTTTTATTTTTATTTTTATTTATTGTTTCCTCAAAAATTCTCAAATAACTTTACACAGAGCAAATCTGGATGTAATCGTATTACTTATTTTTCTGAAAAACAAGAAAAGGGATTTTCTCCACGACTCTCTTGCTCTACACATTCAACCTCCGTTAGGATGATTGAAAGAATGTTAGTTTAAAATTTAATTTTGCACCTTTAGACAATTTACAAAAAAGAGGGATGCCTCCTTGTGTACAATGGATTATTAATATAATCTACCTTGAATAATCTCAAGGACTTTGTTAATACTATGAATTTTAAGTTAATAGATCTCAAATATTTTAAATGAAATACAAATTAAAATAAACTCACAAAAGATAAATATATCTTGATTAAAACTACCATGTTCAAAACCAAATTAACCTATGTTTATAAACAAATTTGTAAATTAACCTACTTTAGAATTGAAAATTTAAAACTAATTAACCAAAGATACTAACATGGAAAACAAAATAATAAAGAAACATAAACGACATATAAATAATCATTTTATGAAAAACATTACTTACCATAAACTTAAAATAAATAATTTTCAAAAAAGAAATAGTACCTTGCAAAAATTAAAACAATTGCTGTCCATTACATGAGATGCAGTTGTAGAAGTGAATGTAAGAACTAATTTGACTATTTTAATATTGGAGACAATCTCAAATCTATAAAGTACTATGCTAAAGATGAAATTTGTAAGCTAAAGCAAAAATCTAAAAACATTGAAACTTGTGGAGGGTTGTGAGTAGGGCTAACCATCATATGTTAAATAATTTAAAACTTTTTTTTATTTGCTTCTTTTCACTTGTTAGCTATTACAGATAATGGATAACTTCTTTGAGAAAATGGACACATCAACAAGATCAAGTTGAGACTACATTAGATCTTGCCAACTATATTCTTCTATTGTTATCTCAAACTCTTAACTGCACTTCCTTTTGAATTATAAAAATTGCTCTTTCATTTGAATTTAAATTGCAACTAAAAATTGTTGTAGGCAATTTAAATATCAATCAATAAATCTAACGTGGCCTCATTTTATCATTTACACGTGACGTGGATTAAAAATTGTAATTTATGATATAAACAATTATTAATTTTGAATATTTTAATTTTAAAAACCAAAACCAAAACCAAAACCAAAAACTTAAAATCAAATCAAGCACAAATTGTCAAATTAGATCGGGACAGGAAGATATTATTTATTATTTACCATTAGACTCCAGTTATTGCTGCAAGAATTCAACTTTGCATTTTCTAAATGATTGACTTCGATACGATTAGCAGATACTAGACCGGAAACTTCGAAATCATTTTGCAATTTGACTGTAGCCGAAGAAGGACATTTCAAGCCAAACAGATTGGTTTCAAACGATGCCATAAATTCACAGCCACAGGTAATACGCAAAACCAGAGCAAAGAAATCAATGGAGAAACAAAGAGAAAGGGTCCGGCAACAACGGATGGTGATAGTGGTATCTCCATTTCATGGCCACATAAGTCCCATGATCCACCTAGCCACCTTCCTTCACTCAAAAGGCTTCTCAATCACAATAGTCCACCCACACTTCAACTCACCAGACCCTTTGAGCCACCCAGAATTCACCTTTCTTGCAATTCCAGATAAGCTGTCAGAGTCCGGCATCTCAAATTGGGATTTGGAGGGCATCGCCGTGACTCTCAATAGGAATTGTGCAGCACCATTGCTAAACTCTGTAGAACAGATGTTGCTCCAGAATCCGGATGAGAATATTGTAGGTATTATATATGATACCGCTGTGTTTTTTGCCCAATCCGTGGCTGATCATCTGAAAGTCACCGGAATCGCAGTTCGCACCAGCGCAGCTGCCAGAATTTTAGCCTTTCCTGTCTTTCCTAGTCCACATGGAGAAGGTTACATCTCCTCACAAGGTATATTCCTAGCAAGAGAAACAAACACTTTTAGTGGTCTAAGTTTTAACTTTTTCCTTCAGAATTGTTCTAGAAATTATATCAAAATCATATAGGCACTTACCATATAACATTCCCTTTTTGAGTTGCAGATTATATTTCTGATGATGGACTGCAAGATCCTCAATCCGTTTCGACCAAGCAACTTCTTGCATCTTTACCTGCAAATCCCAACAATTCCATAGAGTTAAGGATCGCATTAATAAGGGAAATAAAGAAAGCATCTGCCATCATTGTGAACACAATTGACTTCCTCGAACAGGAAGCACTAGCAGTGATTAGAGAACACTTCGCACCTTCGATTTTCGCCATAGGCCCCCTTCACAAATTAGCCCCTACAGGTTCTGCTTCACGGCTCAAGGAAGATTCTAGCTGCATTTCTTGGCTTAATAAACAAGCCCCAAAATCTGTGGTCTACGTAAGTTTTGGCAGCCTGGCTGCAATGGATGGAGAAGAGCTAGTTAACATGGCTTGGGGGCTGGCAAACTCTGACCAGCCGTTCCTTTGGGTGGTTAGACCTGGTTCAGTCCGTGGGTCTGAATGGATTGAGTCCCTGCCGAAGACATTCCATGAAAGAGTTGGAGAAAGAGGCAAAATCGTGAGATGGGCGCCACAAAAGATCGTGTTGGAACATAGTGCAGTAGGCGCATTTTGGAGCCATTGTGGATGGAATTCAACCCTTGAGAGTATATCAGAAGGCGTGCCACTGTTATGCAGGCCTTTTTTTGGGGATCAGATGTTGAATTCAGGGTATATTTGCAACATGTGGAAGGTAGGGCTGGAATTGGAGAAAGGGAAGATTGCAGAAGGTATAAGAAGACTAATGAAGGATGAGGAAGGGATGGAGATAAGGAAGAGAGCAATGGATTTGAAGGAGAAAACAGAGGCTTGTCTAAGGGAGGGTGGTTCAACAATCACTTCTTTCAATGAATTTTCCAAGCAGATACTAGGTTAATAATTAAGAAGCACCCCCTTAAATGGATTCCTAACTTTTACCAAAATAAACTCTTACTGTCTATCTATGGAGCAATTGAATCTACATTATATGAAGGAAAAATCAGTAAAATGTTGAAAAATAGCTGTATCAGCACCTTGATCATAATCTATGTAACGCAGATATGAGAAATAGAAAGAGATCATCTACGCTTGTTTAGGATTAACAGGGGCCTTATGGAAGATAAAAAAAAAAAAAAAAAAAGAGAGAGAAAGAGAAAAAAAGGGAGGATCAACGGGTAAAATTCATATAAAACCAACCTAAAACCTTAAAACAATATGACCCCTACAACCTTAATCCAAACCCAACTTTAGAATGCTTCAATGGCCTGAACATATATTCCGCTGGATAGGACATAAAAGGATAAAGCTATGACAATTTCCACGTACGGCCAGAGGATTCCACAACTCTTCAATTTGTCCCACACTTTTAAAACTGCATAAAAATGATTCATGGCTGAATCTAAAGATGAGAAAGAAAAATGAACTATACCATTCCTATTGTTGTATCATGTATGAACAACATGGAGCATTAGGACTCAGGCCAAAGGAAAAAACTCAAATCATGCCTACTCAAAATGATGTTTGTTTTGAATGTTTAAATGTAGATGATACAATTTAGCATTGGTGCCTGGAAATCACTTCGCAGTCCCTAGATTCAGTGATCTGCCTATACCTGGGTTTGAAAACTTAAAAAATAAATTAAACACAAATTGTCAAATTAGATCGGGACAGGAAGAGATTATTTACTGTTAAACTCCAGTTATTGCTACAAGAATTCAACTTTGCATTTTATAAATGATTGACGTTGATACCATTGGCAAATATTCTAGATTGGAAGCTTCAAAAATCATTTTGCAATTCAACTGCAGCCGAAGATGCACTTTTCAAGCCAAATAGTTTCAAATGATTCTATAAATTGACAGCCACAGGTAATCAGCAAAACCAGAGCAAAGAAATCAATGGAGAAATTAAACAAGAGGAAAGGGCCCGGCAACAACGGTTCTATTTTGAAGAGTTGTGATTTTTAAGGTTTTTTTTTTTAATTTAAAACTTTTTGAGTTTTTAAAATTTTTAAAATTTTAGCATAAAATAAAGAAATTTTATTAATTAATTAAATTTAGAGGTAATGTATATCCGTCATGATTTCTAAAAAAAATTAAAATTACAACTTATATTTAAAAAATGAAATCCTAATTCATAATTTAAAAATCCAACCAGTTTTTAAATTTAAATATCAATATTTAATAAGATAAAATTTTAAATTTTAAATTGAGTTTTAATTAAATAAAATAACGTAATTAAAATTAGAATTCTGATTTTTTTTTAAAAAAAATTGAGACTAATATGAATTTTTTCTGTACATTTTAAACTTTAAGTATTAGCTTTCGGTTAAAACTCTATTTTAGTTTCTGAACTATTGTACAAATCTCAAACTTAAAAAATCCTTGATTTTGTCCATACTGTTTACCATTTCAACTCCAGCTTGGTCCTTTTGTTAAAAACCTCATGATGTATCCTGTTAATTCACAGCTATATGATGATTTGACAAAATATTAACACACGTGGAAGACAACATGGTAAAAAATAATAATATGAAAAAATATTAATATAAAAAAATATTAATATGAAAAATAAAACTTAAAAAAAAAATTTTTTTTCCTTCTGTTTTCCTTTCTCTTTCTCTTTCCCCTTGAAACCCAATGGTTGTTGGATTCCATCGAACCCAACAGTCGCCACTTGGTTCCTTCAAACCCAGGGGCAACAAATAAAAGAAAATAATTCCTTTTTTTTGTGAGTTTTATTGTTTGATGATGAAAAAAAATTGATTGATGAAAAATAGAATTTCATTTCATTGAATTAATTGTTTAATTCAAAAAAATAGTGATGAAAGTTCACCCGAAGGAGACAGAGAGAGAGAAAAAGGATGAATAAAGAAGATTTGAAAAAAAGGATGTTGGAGGAAGAAGATGGGGTAAAATTGTAATTTTGGTGGGTTCCATCTTTTTTTCTTTTGTGTTGACCAAGAATATAATATGTTATGTTCTTATGTCATTATTTTTATCTAACACGTCTCAAACTTTTGACATATTATTAATTCCTTGTGAGTTAATTATGAGTTAACCAATGAATTTTCAATAGAAGGACCAAATCGGGGTCAAATTGATAAATAACAAAGATCAAATCAAAAGTTTTTTAATTTTAGAAATCAAATCAGATATTCATATAATAATTCAAGAATTAAAATAGGATTTTAACCTGAAAATTTTATATTCAATATTTTTTTTTTAACTTTTAATAACAATTTTCAATTATTAATTTTAATTATTTGAATTTTGAAAACTAAATTTAAATTCAATCAATACACTATACGAATAAAGTCCGACACCCTATTTAGTATAATTATTGTTTTGAATTTTTTCATTTAGTTTTTAAAAGTCTAAAAACTCTAAAATAAAATTAAGTAATTGTATAAATTAATTAAATTTTAGATTTTAAATATTT